AGGACGCTGGAGTGGTTCTTCATAATTCACCCCTTTTCAGAAGTGAGCCGCCCAGAAGGGCACAGGACATGGAGTGATGTGCTCCAATTCCATGTCAGGTCCCTGATTTGATCAGAATGCAAACGGCCTTAAACAAAGACATACCTGAAAGGGTCGTATCCGCCAAACGTTGAGGTAGACTGCCAGTTTGACAAACACTTCAGGAATTCGAACACAGTAGTACAGGAGCTGCATCTGTGCAGAAAAAAGGGAAGACCGTCGCGGAAACCATCCGCAGGGGCAAAGGGTTTTTCATTGCTGTTGTTTGCATGAGACGTTGCCAGACCATCTATGTCCATAATGTGTCCGACTCGGACATATTCACAACAGAGCAGTATAATGTCGATTCCTGGCAAGGGAGTGAAACTCTGGCCATCAGGACAGCTGAGAAACTGCTCGATGAAGTCTCTCATTAACCAGTAAAATCGTACGTCCACATTTGATAAAGTTCACAGCCTCTAGAGATAGCGTGTCACCTACGACGACAGCACCTGTTGAAATACATATGAGAACATTCTTCAGCGGCCCCTTTCAAGCACTGATCGACAGTTGCTAAGAGAAGCACATGAATAAGGATCGTGCAGTTTCTATAGCCGGATTTCGCAACTGGCTCGTTGGCTCTCGTAACGAAGCCAACGACTCAACGGTTTGCCAGGAGAGTGATACATTATAACACTGTACTGTAGCATGCAAATCCTCTGTTTGCAAATGGTTAAGTTCACTGAAATGAACTGCTTATTCTCATTTTACTAATACTCGTGATCACAAACCTATCAGCTGTCTTTACTTCTAGATACCTTAATGCCTTATCTAGATGGGCTCTGATCACACGTCTGACGTATGCCTCTTCCTGCTTGCCTTGATGAACCCATAAAGCATCTGCGGCAATGGTTCATCGAAATATGTTCATTTTGGGGCAAAATACACTATGGCCTTCCGATTTGTGATTTCAGTTTCACAGCTGCATTTGGCGGAGCAAATGAGATACTGGTTTTGCACTAAAATGAAGACTATTGTATGCTGCTACACAAACGAAACCTACCGGAGTCAACAGAAACTCTCTGAAAGTCTTGAGCATTGCAAAAGAACTTGAGAATGTCAAGTGTTCTTCAACCTGCTCCTTCACGCCACGTGAGGGCATCAAAGTTTGCTTGATTATTATTTCTTGCGAACAGAGTTATTGCATTGATCTTCTCGGGATCGCAATACGAAGCCAAGTGATGCTGAGAAAAATATGTCTTAATTTCGCGCTAATCGCCTCCATCGTGGCTTTGGTTGCCCGTTCTGCCAGGGGTTTATATCATCTGGATCACTTACAAACAACTAGCGGCCCGAACTTGATAGAGAAAGATGATTTGAGCAGAAATGGCATGCTTTCCATCCTCACTGGTTCCAGTTTTTCCTGGGAAACTGCCACTGCATACGCCAAAATTACATCTCCTCTTCCTTTATCTGTGCGGAAAAAGGAGTTTGAAGAACATGTGAAAGTTTCTCGGGCACAATCTCATATGCCCACTGTCGAAGACGTTTCTTTCGACCACTACTTGCCGAAATTGAGCAGGGAATATGAACATATCCATCCGGGATCTTTACCGCACGCATCACAAGCCCCAAGACCTTATAAGGCTAAAGAAGCATCGGGATTCAGCACATCGCTCGCTGGCAGAAGGGCTTCTGAGATATCCATTCATAAAGAGAACCCACGAATGTTTTCGCATATCGATCAATCAAAGGAAGATCACCGCCTGAAATACGATACGAAAGCACTTCAGTTGCTTGCCCCATCGACAGGACCATACTTGGACAATTATGGTTTCGCCCTCGGAAGCCGTTCCGAAAGTACACCAGAGGCGGAATCTGAGATAGAAAGAAGTCCATTTTCTTTCTCTGTCGAGCCATCTTTTTCATCTCTTTTTTATGTGCAGCCACAGAAGGAAAAGGTCTTCAAAAAAACTCCAAGTTCAAACCCGGAACCGAGTCGCACAGTACTTTTGAATGCAACACCGTCATCTCTGCATACTCGTAGTCCTAGTGCAACGCCTACATCTGTCACAAGTAACGACAAAGAAACGTATCAGAGGGATCCCATTCCGTCCCCTGTGACAAGCCCTGTCCATAGCAAGTATAGGAGTCTCCAAGTTGGTCAAACTGCAACGTACAGGATCTGGCGGGGTTCAACCATCTACAAGGGACAGCGATTGGTTTCCAATAGCGCAGAAAATGAAGTTGATTCCGTCTTTCTTTACAAAGACCACAAAGACCACTTTGATGGAACGGTTGGTGATAAAACACGGAAAAATGGTATGAGGTCACCTCAAAATGATACGAATGACTTCTTAAATGGTCTTAAAGTCTCTGTTTCACCAGGCCACAAAGAAGGTGATCACAACTCTTCCTCAGCCAGGCCGGGAATATCAATACATGCGTTTATGAATGATCCACGTTCTACGGATCCAGGTCTGATCGTAGCTGTGTCTACATCTTCAAACACTCGAAATTCACACGAGGTGAAAGATTTGCAAGTTCAAATCCCTATTCTGAGGAGAGCAAATGTTTTCTTTCTAGTCTCTGTTGGCGTCTCTGCCGTACCTCGGGACATCAATATATCGTCAAGTGCGATACATCTTGGCTTCCCAACGCGAATTTCCTGGAATACAGCAGCAATGACAGCTGGACAGATTCATTCTTCCAAGGTAGAACCGAAAACAACCATGAACTTTGTATACGTGCTTTCTTCAGCTCCATATACACAACACGCGGAACTTCAAGGTCGAGGTCTGGACCTTTCGGGCCTAAGTGATCTCTCCGTACATCTTAACGCTTCATACATCGATCCCTTTTGTAATTCAAGAGGCACCGAAATCGCAGCAGCCATAGTTGGGAAGAACCTAGGAGCAGTGAAGCATGCAATCGTAGTTCCTCTTCCAGTAGAAACTTGCAATACGACTGCGTCGACTGAAACGTTCAGAAAAGCTCTAACTTGGATGCATAATCACATGGTAAGGAATACGGGTGCGAGGTTTTTTGTGATTGTGGATGTTCCGGAGCACCCAAAGAATCTACTAAGGCCCCTCTCCCGCATTATGAAAGAAACATCCATAAAAAGTGCAGTGGTTTTATCATCAGCTTCTGGTTGTCATGGCAGGGATAGCTCATATCTTTCAGTTGGTCTATATGGAGTGGGAGACAGTGGCAGGTTGCACATCCCAAGCATGAAAGAGTCGTGCGTAAGAAATTTTGATGTCTTTGCTCCTGGCTTGCGTGTTATAAGTGCATACACTTCTGGACCATATTCATACCGTTACAGATCCATAAGCACAGGTATAGCAGCCGCAGGGGCTGTGAGCACTCTCATTAACGCTCTTCAGGATAAAGACATGTCTTTTGAAACTACCAAATGGAAGACCATTCTACGGAAAGAACTGCGACGATCACTGGTGTTTGTGGGCACAGTAGGCAATAAGTCTGCATTGCTTCCGCTTTTCGGTCCAGGAGGTAGCACCGAGCTGAAGAAAATTCTTGAGTCAACGATCATTAATTCTTCCGGTTCCGTGCAAAGTAATGACAACAAAGCTGCGTCTGAAACCGCTCCTAGTCTGCCCAAATCGGCTGTAATAGGAATATGTGTATCGGCTGGTTTAATTGCCATCTTACTTGTAGTAGGTGGAGTTCTTCTATCATGGCGCCAAAGTGAGGACACGTCTTCCTCCGAAGGGTCTTCAACGAGCCATGGGGGCCCGCATGATGGGGGGAATGCATATGATCGAACTGATAAGCGCCCTATCGTACGAAAGATCAATGCTGAAACGCTAGATGGCGAAAATGGACTTACTGATGCCACAGCTGGATCTGTACTGCCAGTTACTCTTTACCAAAAACGGTCACAGGAACCTCAACAGCTTTCTGAGGAAAGACCACCCCCGCTTCTTCAAAACCCGGTGTCTCTTGGGCAAGAAACGTCACCACAACCAACAGCAAGTGAAAAGGCCTCATGGTTCGCAACACCAACCGGTGTTCAGAGAGAAAATAAGTACATATTCAACAGCGTCGGCAAACATGGTTTCGAAGAGGACCTCAGTGCGACTGTTGTACAGATCAATACGTCCGAGGATATTGCAGGCATGGAAACCCCGTAAGATGAGAATCGCCCATGAACTGTTTAGTTCATTCTCCTTTCTCCATTCTCCTACATATCGATTCGAGGAGCTTCGCACCTTTCAAAATTTTATCTAGCTTCTCTTTCCATTCTCTTCTGCTCGAATTCCTGTAATCAACGAAATTGTGATTATATATGTAACGTAAACAGAAGAGTATGGTTTGAATGGGAAGAAGAATAAGAAGCGGGCTCCTAGGCCTCACAGTGCTGATTGACCCAGAATGGTCTGTCCACTGCACCACGAACTCCCTTCTCCTTTCAACGGACTCTGCTACAACGAAGTCTCGGCTCGACTGGTAGTTTAATGGTCCTCTCGTCTTGCAGTGCTCTTGTAATATGCAAGCAACCTGCATGTTACTGTGAAATAAAGTATCTCATTTGCGCGTGATTGCTGACAAGCATCGCCTTCGAACGACATGTCAGAGTGTGTGGTTTGATACGCAAATACGAAATAGAAGCAGAGAATCGGTTGCAGGGTAGAGCAAAGAGTGCAGATATTTCGTTCATTAGACAGAAAGAGCTGTTGCTCTATGATTTTATGGTTCTGTGTCCATGTAATTCGGGAAGGAGTCATAACGGACACATATGTGTAAATGGTGCACAATGGTGAATATCGATGACGCTTTAAACACGTCGTTGACACCGTCGAGAATTGATCTCAAAGATCCTGTAAATCCGATTACAGCCAACCAGCTGGTGGTGACCCTGCCGAAAGTGATGGTGAAAGCTATATGCAAGAAGAAGAGAACAGTGCGTCATGCTTGTAAACATATTATATTTCGAAACAGTAGTCACGTTTCCGACATTAGAAGGCTATGATATCGTTAAACGTACCAGCATAGTCACAAAGCAACCTTAGAATAGAACCATTTGTCCATCCAAAACCTACCTGTGGTGCGTATTCGCCGCCCACGCCCATCTTCCCTGTTTTGTACCTGGAGTCGTATTTCTCATGCATCACATTGTCTTCCCGCCAACCTCGCCAAGCCGTTTCCAGAAATCGACTGGCAATCGTCTGTGCTATCTTTCTTCCTTGACTTGTTGGAAACCTTTCTCCTAACCGCTGCATCCCCTCAACGACAAGGTCAATTAACGGAGGCCAGCTGTTTGGGAAGTCCCATTGTTCTTTGGACACTTGAGTAGTGCATGACAAGCCTCCGTTCTGCAACAAGCCAGAATGATCCGAAACAAAAGCAACAAGTCTTTTCGCGTCTGAGGCTGTCCATTTTTTCTCATTACATCCTGCCCATAGTGGCATTAGCCCGGCACAAGACACTACGCTTGAGTGGACTGATGACTTGATATCGTAGTCAAACCAAAACCCCGTTCCCTTATCCCATAGGAGGTCCATCATATCGGCTTCGCGCCTTGTCGCTAATTGCTTATAATGGGAAGACAGCTCTAAATGCTTTTTATGGTCTGCAAACTTGTCCACATATTCTCCATACGAATCGGAGAGTTCATCAGGTGGAGGTCTTAGGTGATTCGCAAGGAGCTCGTGAAACGACGACAAATCCTTTTCTGCTTTCAGCAAAATGCTATTGAGGCAGACGGGTACAATACTACAAATCTGTGTGTTCTCGACAACTCTTTCATCTGCGCTAGGAAACCACCGCGAAGAAAAGTCCCAGCCACTTTCTGCCGCAGCAGCCAGGTTTTGAAAGACTGAAGAGGGACTATCGTCATCCGAGGGAGTGCATCTCTGCTGACGGCGGTGAAGACTCAAAGAATCTTCTGCGAATGATTCTGGTCGTGCGTGGTGAGTCGAAACATAGTAGAGAGATAGTAAACGATTTTCGAAACCCTTCCCGGGATGGTGCGAACTCAACGAGCGCTTTTCATGAATCCATGAGGACTCCTTGTCCAGAATCGGAACGGCTTCTTCCAGCCATTCAACACGCTCCGAAGCACTATCGATGGCATCATACACTACTTTCACAGCTTCCGTCAATAAAGGTGGCTGTGTTCGGTTCAAGAAGTAAACGCGGTTCCCATTTGGTACAAAACCAATGCAACTTACGAGATAGAAAAGGTTTCGGACCGCTGCTTTCGCTGATTCCAGCATGTCACACGCTATCAATCCTTTAACGATCCATAAAGTATCCCAGTAGAAGCACTCACGGAATCGGCCTCCCGGGACGAAGAACTGGAAAGGAAGTGGGATGAAACTGGACCGCTTGGCAAATTCATTGTCTGCACCAAAAACAAACTCTCTGCATAAACTAACCCACCTCATCTTTAAGTCTATTGCGAATGCGGTCAGCTCCTCGTTCGGTTCCTGCAATCGGTTCAGGAACGAAGGTGGTTTGAGGTTAAAGTCCATTGGTGTTGCATTTCTAACAAGTCTTTTCGATGAAGCCTCAGGCTCAAAAACCATGTCGACGAATTCGTTGTATTGGTCACGAGAAGGTTCGTCCGGGAAGCTTTGAAACAACTCCAAAACATCTTCAGGGTCCATCTTGAGTTCCATATCCACAAGTGATTTGGAATCGTTTGAACTTCTGAAAGGAGAATTTTGTAAAGTAGTCAGCAATTTTGGGTTGCAAAACACTTTTGCTGACGGAAATCTCTCATCTCGCTCCTGTGGATCCATGGTATATTCAGCAAAATCGGGTGTGCTCGAGTCACACGGATGAATCTGACGTCTCAAAACAGATCCTTGGGAAGTAGATGAACCATCGCGGAGCTGATGAAGCTTCGTGTAAGGGCAGGGTCTCTATGGTTGACTTTCTTACGAAGGTGAAGAGATTTCCAACCGTGAGATGGGTGTGAGGGCCTCTCTAAGGATTGCGTGGAAGGGCATGTATGGACGTGTATGGACGTGTAATACAATACAGAGATAAACATCGATAGAGTGACCCCTTGTCACAGTGACCCCCCTCGGTATAGTGACCGTTAGAAAAAAATTTCTTGCCACCATTGCGCTGAGTGGCCGTAAGGCCCACTTTTGCTTTTTACAGTGACCCCCTCACTATAGTGACCTTACCTGTACAGTGACCCGAAAATTTAGAGGGTCACTGAAAAAAAGGTATATTTTTATTAAAATTTTAACGGGTCACTCAAGAGGAACTCTGAAAAAATGAATCTAGGGTTGACTGACGACCAGAGCGCTTGCGGTAGCCGGCAATATTCTCTATCTCAATGTCCAAAATTTCGACCAAATCATCCCTAATGTCCTTTGACAAAGGATGCTCACTTTGAAAAAATAGAGTTGCCTCCTTCCTCAATGCCACTGCTGCTGCCTGCAAACGAGTAATAGAGGGCTTCTGCTGCTCAACGCCCTCTTCCTTTCTTTGCGAATCTGCCTCTGGGTCTGCATCAGACTCTGTTGCAGCATCCCTTACTTCCTCAATAGCAGTTGAAACAGCTGCCTCAATGGCATTGCCACCTGAAACTTGTAGGCAAGTATCCAGGCCTTCTTCCATCGTAGAAAACTCCTGCAAGTCCGCGTCACTAAAGTTGTCCACCACGTTTAACCGCGCCAGTGCTTCCCAGTCATTTGTAAGTAAATCTATGTTGCTTCTTGTCCAATCGCAATCTTGAATAGACTCATCCAATATAGATGTATCATTTTCTGTATTGATACCTTCATCTTTAAGCCACTCCTCTCCTTTCAATCTTGTGTGCAGGGCATCCGACGCATTTATCGCAGACTCTGTGGATGTAGCAGAAGAGCAAATCGCTTTCATTGCGGGCTAAGCGCGATTTCCAGCATCCGCCCTTCTCTGCAACATCTCTTCGCGTTGGTACAGTGCGATAATACCGGTCACCAACCATCCATTTAGAATAGCACTGATAGGGACCATATTCCATGCCTTCTTCATCATAACCAAAGCATCATACGTTGTAACTGCTTGTGTCAGTTTAAACGTTGAACGCTCTCCTTCTGGTAAAGCCATTTGTTTGTCCACATACGTAAGTATGTGATCAAAAAGCAAACGTCTAAAAGCGCACTTAAACGATCGACCAATTGCAGCATCAACAGGCTGCAAAACGGAGGTCATGTTAGGAGGAAGAAAAACAGTTGACCAGTTTTCATACGGACTGTAGTCAATAGCATGTGCCGAGCAATTATCCACAATACTGACAACATTTCTGCTTTGGATACGCGTAGCCTTGTTCAATCCTGCAACAATAGAAGTCCAAAGCGGTTGAGTATTCCAAGCATTCTTATGTGACTTGTAGAACACGCCTAAGTCTTTAGCTGCATTGAAGTGGCGCGGAAAGCTTTTAGGCCTTTTAGACTTCCCAATAATTGTTAGCGGCGCCTTCCGACCATCCGCGAAAACAGTCAACACAGCTGTGAGGCGATCTTTGATGCGTGTGTACGTCGCTGGTTCATCCACGTTTCGAATGGCACGGCTTGGAAACGACCGGTACAGCACAGCAACTTCGTCCGTGTTTGAAATGCAACCAATGGGTATTGTGCACACAGATTTTTGGATTGCACGACGAGCCATGTAAACAGTCTGTGAGTCAAAGTGTCCAGCTTGTCCAGTACCTTTGCAACTATGCATGTTGTTACGTCGCATAAAGTTAGCAACCCATATATTGAGCTTGCTTTAAAACCTTTTAAAGCCGAAACCTTCTCCTTTAAAACAGCAATTTCTTCATCCGGTAACTGCTCGCCTTCCAATACTAGTTCGTGGCGTTCAAGCAGTTTTTGTGCAATGTCTCTCGCCGTTCTAGCTACAACATCGGCGCGAAAGAGAGACTCTCCCTTCATGTATACCATTCTTTGTCGCATATAGGTTGAAACAGCTGCTTCCACAACCGGAAATGTCCCCTCTCTCATCCTCGAAAGCTTACGGGACTTACGAGTACGCAGCTCCTGTCCCATTATCTTTGCCAATTGCTTTTTCCAGCTAAATATTGCAGCTTTCGAGACGCGATACTCTTTTGCCAAAGCAGTTGCAGTCCATGCGCAACTTGTAGACTCATTAATGATAGAAGAGCCGAAAGATCCATCTGGTTTGGCTCCAAGTAGCCGCAAAACTTGCTGCTTTGTTTCAAGGGTAGGTTGGGAACGTTTGGTCGAAGACGACATCTCGGAACGTGATTGCGTAAGATGCCTTTGTGTTTTCGCTGCAGACTCTGAGGTTTGCTTTAACTTTATTGCGATGATCCTATTGTAACGTTCATGCACGTGTATCTTGTACTGTAGAGTTGTGTGTTTACACGTGGTGAGAAAAAATCGTACTCGCTGCTTTTGTCAGTCCTGATTCAGAGGTTTCGTCAGTGGCCTTCACAGTACCGAGAATACGGTTTTGCTCCTGGATGGGCTTGAAGCTAGGGGTGAAGGTTGATTTCAAGGGTGCTTTGTGTCCCTGTTTGCTTATTTTTCACTTATTTTTGCAATGATTTCTTTTCGCGCCAGCTTAACGTGGCATTTTATGTTTGCGAGCCCCATTTTTATTCGCCATTTATGTTGTCAGGCCTGTAAGATGGACTTCACCCCTTTGTTTTGGGGTCTGTGCGCCGTCTGCACCCTGCTCCACTACAGTGACCCCCTCCGGTACAGTGACCCTTATGCCTATTTCGGGTCGCCACCTTTGGGGGTCACTGTATCGATGTTTATCTCTGTAGCTCTCCAAGGTAAATAGTCAGTTTCAAAGCAGTTGATTGGAACTGTCTCAAGTGCCAAGCCAAAAAGGAAGTGTGAAATAGCGCAGAAATAATCTAAATGTCTGTACACACGCAAAAATATATGATTGGAGATCGGGTGAATACGCAAACACCTTTTCATTTGTAAATTTGTTTATGAGTACCCAAACCAACGCTCTATACGTATTTGAGGCCCCCCGAACAGCCACAGCCAGTTTCATGGCTGGAAGTCATCACATGAGGGGGCCATTGTGCGAAATTGAACATCCATGCGCTGACGACGCCTTTGTCGATAGCGTTCTTGCGCCCTTTTCCTCTTTTCTCCTTGCCGCTCGCCGATAGCATATTGACGATTTTTCACCCTTCTGAAGGCTTGCACATCTTCCGCTCGTAGCGGATTCCAACGCACATGCATGTTTGTGAGCCCAACACACATTTGGAAGAACTTGTCATAATTCTTCTCACTCCATCGAAACTTCGAAGCCACTACAGTCCAGAGGCCGCACATGCGCCCAAAGAAATTCTCCACAATGATCCGATCCCCTGCGACCTTTCGGTTAAAAATATCGTCCTCTGCTGCAAGAGCTCCGTTTTGAGGTTTCTTTTGCGGGGTAATAGTTCGTAGAAATTCACCTCCACCTTGGTAGCCTTTGTCAGCAAGCACAGCCCACTGGTCCGGATATTGGTCGACCAGCGAGCCAATATCGTTTACAACGTTATCCTCTCCACTTTTCGTCAACGCAACCTTATGAAAATTTATCATGTCGTGGTAGATGTCGATATCGGATACAGACCCCGGGTAATGGATACTGCAACCAACCTCAATTCCAATCGGGAGCACAGAAACTTCGACCTTATAGCCATAGAGCTTATGTTTTCCACTGAAGTACTTTTTGCCTTCTTGCATGACACCCGTCGGCCTGTTAGCCTGCTGAAATGTGACGTCCGTTGCGTAGCGAGCATACGGGAAATTCTTAAACGTTCGGCGATTGTCTATTACTCTTCCCATTCCCCACCGCTTGCCGAAAGACGTAACATATCGGTTTTAAATCTCCTTGGAAACGATGTCCATATAACCCATGATGAGACGTTCAAACGTCGGCCCCTTGATGTCGAACATTTTCCCCAGGAAGTCCCATTGGCCTCCATTTTTTACCACTACCAATAGCATGAACATGACGTCTTTCGCCTTGTATGCCGACTTCCTCCCTCTCCCTGTGTTCCAAATTTGGAGAATGTGATCTTTAAAATGGCCCCAAATTGTCTGATACTGAGCTGCATTGAAGTTGGTAAGCTGAAGAATGGTCGCTGATCCGCCGTTACTGTAAAAGGTATCAAAAATTGGGGAGTCGGAGTCAGAATCCTCGTCAGAGTCGGGACGGTCCTGCTCCGAGCCGTAGTCTTCCAGCTCTTGTTGGCGAGTTAATGCGGCATCTGCCAAAAGTTGCAAGGCTGTGGCGGCTTGGCCGATACCGATGGCCATTTTAAGGACGGCCGAAGTGCTGGGGGATGCTGAATGTGGCTTCTCGGAGATGGAGGTGTCGCAGTCGCAAATGTCTATGTACACTGTAGTTGTTCTGTGCAAAGATTTGCACCGATTTGAAAAGACCGCTCATTTATGAATGACATTGCTGTAACTGAACTCATGCTGTCATCTTTTGAAAAGATCGACCAAATGCGCAAATAATTGATTTTACTAATTTACACATTCACATTTTTTGGCCGGATGGATTTGGGGAAATACTTAGCTTTTTGCCATTGCAAGGGGTCTATTTTGGAAACGATTCTCTAACCACGTTGAAAGCGATAAACTGACATAAAGTACTAATAGAGATTTTAAAAAAAGGTGCATAATGCATTGCGCCGCGGTGCTGTCAGATGATCTGATCTAGAAACGGATTAAGATCCCCAGTACTGTATCATCATCTCGAAGATGCTGATCTTGCTTGACGTCACCATCCCCAATAATAGATCCATCAACATCACCTGAGGAGAGTAATCCATCCGTTCGCATTCCTGTTTCTTCTTTTACCGTCGACGAATTGTTAGAATGGTAAACTTCTATTTCAGCCCAGTTACTATGGTTTTATCCATCTTTCTACATCATCTGCACAGAGACCTCCTGATTCTCTGTCCTCTGTTTTAACATGTTTATGTCAAACAAGTACTTTTTGTCGATCTGCAATGGCTCAAAATTCTGACTATTCCTCTGAAAGATCCTCATCGTTCTCTCAGGACATATCTTGTGTTGAAGTAGGAAGTCAACAACTTTCATCGTTGTCTTCGCCTTCCGCATTGGATGACATACAGAATCATGGACAGCGCAATTCGAAAAGGGATGCTCGAGACTGGACAGAAGACTCGGATTCGTCGGTTGTTGTAGGAGCTGCGGCGATGGCTGGAAGCTGTGTCTTCCTGTCAACTCAAACGCGTCAGAGAAATAGAGCTTCTGGGCACCACACTCTTCTCTTTACAACTCCCATTTCCTTCAGCACTATCACGGACTTCTACGCCCCAGAAATGTTCAGAAAGACTTTTCGTATGTCTCGATCTACATTTGATCTACTGCTTAGCACTGTTCACGACCTGTTGGATCGTCGGTTTGTATCAGCATCAGAATATAGAAGAGAAACAATTCCAGCCGACATAAGGCTTGCAATTACGTTGAGGATGTTGGCTGGAGGGAGCTACTGTGATATTTGTTTGGCATATCAAGTGAAGGAGTCGACAATTTTCGACGCATTCAACTCTACAAGCGATGCGTTGATAGCGCGTCTGCACTTGGAGGGCTTTCCTCAGACATCAATGGTTCTACAGAGACTATCGCAAGGTTTTCAGACATCGCGCCCCGAAACAAGCCCCCTATTCGGGTGTGTGGGGGCTTTGGACGGCATTTGCATTAAGAAAAAGAGCCGGCCGCGTGTGAGAACCCGGCGTTTTTTTATTCACGCAAAGGCTTTTACGCTCTCCCAGTTCAAGCTCTATGTGATTCAGATTATATTTTTCGGTACTGCTCTGCAGTGTGCACAGGGGCGACTCACGATGCACTGGCCTATGCAGTGTCAGGACTCAAGAAGGATCTTGACTCTGGAATCCTCGGTGATTCGTTTTACATAGTGGGTGACGAAGCCTACACCTGCACGGAGAGATTGATAACCCCTTTTTCTAGGGATAATGCTGACTACGATGAGATGAATTTTAATTTCTTTCTTTCTTCCATGCGCATTCACATAGAGCAGGCTTTTGGTATGCTTGTAGCGCGATGGCGAATTCTGAGATGCGGACTGGAGTACTCGGTGACCAGATGCACCGATATCGTTTGTTTATTGATGAAACTGCACAATTTTTGTACGAAACATGACGGCCCGGAATCGGCAACCGAATGTTTATCGCAGGAGGAAAAGGACATGTTGGAAGAGGATATTAAGGCGTGATACATGCAGACGGAAGAGCTCTCTCAAGAATTTCATCCAGAAGGGCAGGATGGAGTCACAGCGAGACACGTGGTCCAGCGTTCTGGACCTTCTCGTGCGAAGCATGATGCTCTGGTTGCGATTTTGAAAGGGAAGAACAGACAGATGCCAAATTCTGTGCCATTAACTGTGACTTCTCGCGGTGTGCACGCTCGTACCTAGATGCGGTCGCTGCAATAGCGAACTGATAGATAATAAACAAGATTGTCTTCTGCTATTTCAATTTCTTCTATATAAGCATCTTCCTTCGAAGAAGGTGTCCGTTGCCGAGCATCCTGGGTGGATAAAGTCAAGGCTGGTCGAGACCAACGATTTTCTACGTCCAGAGATAAGGGCACTTGGTCCCATGAGGTGCTACGATTTAACAGGCGTAAGAGGAGGAGACGGCAGTGTTCTTCATGACCAGATGAGGCAATTTATGTACAAGACGAATTTGAAGCGCGAGACGAACTCGGGCATAGTATCAAGAAAGAACTTGAGGGGAAATTGATTGATGAAGATAAGTCCCAGATGATGACAGATTCGCCCATGCCCCCAAAGGCCAAATATACCCGCGAGTCAAGCAGGAGGCTGAGGCGAACGAACAATATCCTGAAGCAGAGTCACCAGGAAAGGAGACAGTCTTGGCTTGTAGAGCTGGATGCCTTCGGGCAGACGGAGCCGTCTTTCCCGCTCTCGAGCACTGATCGCGAGATCGCGTCCCGGAGATGTGCATAAGCGGACGATTACTCAGCGAAGACACCAATCGGCACGAGGACTGACGATCGTTGCGGTAGGCATCCCACAAGTGCGATTCTAATCTGTTCTATCAGGATCGCAAGGATCCCATACAGGCTTCATTTGCGGATAACACAGACATACAATTTTGAGAACGGAACCTGAAGATGGCCGTCGACATGGATGGAGGCTGAACAGATGCGCCTGCGCAGTTGTCGTGCAAATGATTTTGGGATTTCTGCTTCGTCACAGCGGGACGCCACAGGAGTCGACGGAGGGCATACGTGAAGGTGAAAAGAACGAGAGACGCTTTCCCCGCGATGGTTCTCGGTCCATTTCCCAGGTTGTGATGGGCGGGCTGAAGACAGGTTGCTGCACGGAATCGGTACAAGCTGGGGTACAGAACGCGGAGAGCTTGGAAGGACCTCGCCGATTACTGTAGGGGGCTCTTTTTCTAAGAGGTTTTGCAAATCTACCGTCTTTTTCAAACCCTTTTGAATTCGAATCGATCAGAAATGGATAAATGTCTGTTGGTGATAGCCAATAGGTTTCTTCTCTATTGCTTTGCCAAAGCTTACTCTGTAATTGTGACGTTAATTATTTTCGTCCATGTGCGTCCATATAAAGTATCAGATGTATTAAAAACATTCAATGAACCAATCCGGAGCGATGTTTGGTTCACTCACGTCCATACATGCCCGACCGAGCAATCCTTAGAGAGGCCCTGACTCGGACACAAGGTGCAGCAAGCAGAAACGCAGATGTTGTGTAGTGCACTGTACTCCGTACCGGGACAGCTGTCCTAATCT